CGGTTACTGCTTTTGGAATTTACACTGATCCAGTTAGACAGTCTAAATGACGGTATTGGTGAATTTAAACAATTCTTTTGACTGTCAGTAATCGAAGCTGTAAAGTAAAAAGCTTACAACTGTATGTCACCATAAATTTATTTGAATATTGGCAAGTTTTTCGGTTAATTTTAACCTTTTCAACAAATAATGCAACAGTGGTAATAGTAGTATTGAAGTTGACGTCGACCAACATTGAAGACAGTATCAGTATGCAACAGCAGTACCCGTGAATAACCATGTAATACCATGAAAAATTCAATAAACTTTTAGCTTTATAAATATCAACCGAATTAATTTAGCAGAAAATTGCGACTAAAAAATTACAAAACTTGATACAACAATCAGTGATTAATTGTCTATCAATTGATGTTGGCTATCAGTTTTTCAGCAATGATCACTTAGATCAAATTAAATGTCTGTTAACTATCGTATGTAAGTACCAATTACGATAAACTTTGTAATTTCAGTCTTCAGTCTTAACCAGCTTTGATTCATGCTTTTCAGTTAGTTGAACTCTATTTACTTATGTGACCTTTTTTCTAAAGACTAATTAATTTACATCACATCTTCACTGTTCGTCTTTTAAACTATCACTTTTTAAACACCGTAAAGTAAAATTGCCTAATGGAACAGAACAACTAAGATCTTTTAGTAAACTAAAAATAACATAACTAGAAGTCGAAAAGATAAAACATGCAAATTTAACCTGTTTTTGGTTGTTTTACAGAAAAAAAAAGAAGGTTAATTTACCAGCTAAAAGCTTTACTTTCGCCTGTGTAAATTCAGGAGGTATTTGTAACGACAGCAAAAAAAAAAAACGTATTTTTCTTTTTTTTTTCAATACTTATATTTTAAAAATTTTGTCTTTTTTTATAACATTTGAAAAATTCCAAATAAGTAGTCAAAAAAAAATTTTTTTCTAAATTAAATGTATAATTTTAAAACATCATTTTTATTGTATTTTCGGTCTTTCTTTTTTTTATTCGCTTTTTTGAACATTATTTTGCTTTTTACTTTTCACGACTTCAGTCAGCTACTTCAGACAACAGTACTCTTACTGTTGTTATTGCAACAAAAAAAATTAGTGAATTCGATAAAGAACTTAAAGATTCGACAAAAAGAAAAAAACCGAACAATATACTTTTTAAACAAACAAATAACAGGAACAAATTTGACTAAAAATAATTGAAAATTTCGAATCTTTTTATGTTATTTTTTCTGCTCTCCTCTGTTCTGTTTTGTTCTGTTTTGTTCTGAAACATACAAATCGCTGTTCAGCAACCAGGCAAAAAATTCCTTCTCTAGACTTGCGCTTAATCTGATTGTTTAATCATACTAGCCAAAAATGAAAAACTAAAAAGGAAAAAAATTGGCAAAAAATAAAAAAATTATAAGAAATAATCGAAAATTGAAAATTTCGAGATTAATCAAACAATATATTATTAAACTTACCAAAACGTTTTTCTTTATTCCTTAGCCTCTTTTTTTTTTTTTTTTTTTTTTTTTTTTTTTTT